CTGCAGCAGATAGTCGCCAACGCGAGAAGCACGAGGCATAGCGAGTGCGACGGCACCCACCGCGTCCAGACAAGGTGCACGAGGCCAAGCGCCGCAAGCAGAATCGTCATGATGCCCACATTGGTGGCATGCGAGATGCCATGTCCGTACGTGGAGGCATCGAGCGCGATGACGCAGGCACCGTAGGCAGCAAGGACGACAAAGCCAATGGCGACCGAGATTGTGCTTAGCGTGTGCATATTGAAGAATGAGACGTCAGTGTCGTTGCCACCGACCTGTCCGCGTCCGTGCGACTCGTTCGATGGGATATGCTGTCCACTGGCATGTCCAGCGCCTGGCTCGGAGACCGATTCTTGAGTCTCGGACGATGAAAGGGCGCCTTCCAGACAACCCGCTCCCGCGTGGTCCACTTTCAAAACGCCAAAGAATGCGTCGACAAAAAATGTGGGGTTGACTTGAAGGCATGCCCCCCATGGGGTCACTGCCAGCCAATGTGGACGATACCAGGACACGTTTGCAAGGAGGTGGCATCCATAAACACTGTCTTTAGGGGCTCGCGTAGGAAGAGAGCGTCGATTTTAAGAGCGGAAAAGCGGTTGCAGTACGCGCAATGGTAGGCTACGCGGAGTGAATCCGACGCAGCGAAGAAGACTGTCGCGCAGAAGGACCAGCATGGTATCTCTGTGGGAATGGTGTCCTCGAGTATCCACAGCGCGTTTTCGCTAAAAATTGCGCAGCTGGACAGACAGACAGGTATGTACTAGCACTCGGAGGCCAATGAAGAAAAGATTGCTATTGCTGCAAAGGGCCGCTAATTCAAAGTGCAGGACTTGAAGCGAAAACGACTCGCACGTGCACTTTACCAGGGCTAGGGTAGGGGTCGGGTGTCCCGTTTCGTCTCCTGCGTCTGATCGAGGATGACGCATCGATGCCGCCCTACTTCGTTTCTAGACTGCTTGAGTTATAGTGCCAGTATCGTCGTTGGAGCGCATTTCGACGCGACGTGTATGTAGGGAACACGCGTGTTTAGATACATTAGGACTCGTCACCTATGCATTCTCGACGGGGGAGTGCACGGCGGCGTCCCGAAGCGCATCCTGGTATTCTGAACGCGGCGGACGACCCACACGCGCGCAAAAAGCAACAGCAAGAAGACGAGCAGAACGCCCGACGCAATCGCGACAGCTCGGTCGTAGTTTCGGGCGACCGACATGAGCGTGTGGCCAAAGCACGCGTCGAACGACGGGGTGCGGTACGTCCAGTTGATGCACGACTTCAAGCCTGCCCCCAAGCAGTAGAACATGGCGACACAAGCGACGCCCGATGGCTTGGGTGCTGTCATCGGGCACGTGTCATGGATCCACGTCTGCAGCGCGGCGTGTTGGACGATGGTGTTGGAGTGCCTCGCGCAGCCATCGCAGAGTCGGAAGAGGGCTACTTTGAAATCGTGACGAGCATTCTGCGGGTCAGCGATGTCGACGCGCAAAAGCTGTCGATGGTCGTGGTTGCTGTCACAATGACGTTGGCGAGCGTGGCTGGCAGCGTCGATACATTGCGCGCAATCTCGGCCGACACGTTCGGGTTGTTCCAAAGGCCATCAAACAAGATGGTTTGGATGAGAGGAAACGCGCTGCAAAATTGTCGGCCTTCGCTCGCACAGTACGCTTCCGAATACGCCTGCGCAGGGCCATAAGGGTAGTTTTCACTAAGCCCAGCGGGCTCATCAGTGCGTCGCGCCAGAGCACTTCGTTCTGGCGCTTGGATGCCACATAGTCTTCCATGTGGTGCTGGTACGTCGTGAGCGCTGGCGCCGTCTCAATCGCCTTTGTTGTCATGGCGACGCCATCGACGGCCATATCCAATAGCACGCTGACGCAGACGACCTCGAGGAACAAAAGCACGAGGCAGAACGTATGCGACAGCACCCCGCGCGTACACGTGAGGTGCACGAGGCCAAGCGCCGCAAGCGCAATCGTCACGACGGCCACGACGGTGGCATGCGGCATTTCGATGAGCGCGCCGTACATGGAGGCACCGAGGGCGATGACGCAGGCGGCGTAGGCAGCGATGACGACAAAGGCGATCGCGACGGCGACGGTGGTGCGCGTGGGCGTGGGCATCTTGCAGAATGGCGCGTCGGTGATGTTGCCACGGGCTTGTCCACCTCCGTGCGACTGGACACGGGTCAATGTCCTGGAGCTGTAGATCAAGTCCACTCCAGTCTGTCCAACCCCAGGTCCAACCCTGGGTGCGCCTGTCTCTTCATGATGCCCATCGCACCTATTTTACGTGCCACGAATAGTGCGAATTCATGCCTAGCACGACCGTATTCGTACGTAAAATCATCATCTAGTATCACAACGGTGGCATCCACACAGCTTCTATTTATATACATACAAATACGTATATGAGGCGAAAGGAATTGGCATTTTCGTTGAAAAAATACATCGTCATAGAAATACAGTAGGTTTACGAATAGATTGCGAAAACGTACCAAGAGCCCACAACGCTATGATGGAGCACCACAACCTCATTCAAGAGCCCTACCAGCTCGGTCTTCGTTGTCTTGTAGTACAGTGTACTAGTAGCACAACACGAGTCGCCGCTTGCATCTTGTCCGGGGGCACGCGCTCGTGTCTCTGACCGTAGTCGACGACTGACGTCAAGTGTCTGCAAAATCGACTTCGTATTTACGACATTGCCCTCGGGCGATAAGATCTGAGTTGTCGTGGCAACATGGACGGCACCGCACTGAGCACTGGTGCGTCACACTAGTGATTTGTGTCAACAATAGGTACAATATTTGTACCGCTGTGCGAGCGCTCGATTGCACCGCACTGCATGTGTACTTGCTATTGGGGAAGAATATTTCCCCAACCACTCGACCCAAGAATGTGCATCGTAATCACAGCAAATTAAGGCAGAGCAAGTCGGCCCACGGTCGCATCCAGTGGAACGCCGCGAACGCTGCTGGTCGATCAAGTAGCTTGACGATGGACCACATATGAAAAGAAACCCATAGTGGTAATCCCGGCTATACAGCGTAAGCCGTCTGACAAGACAATTGAAGCCGAGACGAGGGTATCATAATGTCTATTCCAAAAGACACGAGTCTCTAATACAACAGCCTCAATAGACGACGCTTCGTCATGGAACTGGTCAAAATTAAGGCTCGAACTCTCGTCTCTTCACTCGCCGTTGACGAGGCAATCCTTGTACCGTTCGGCTATCGCACCGCGTCAACGAAGAAAGGATCAATAATAACAATGCACAGCGTATTTGCTGCCTGACAAGTGCTTAGGGGTAGGTTAGGGGTAGGTTCATACCTCGATGGCAACGCGAGCACGTAGCAAAAGCGCATGTTTAGATATATTAGGACTCGCCACCTATGCATTGTCGACGGGGGAGTGCACAGCGGTGTCCCGAAGCGCGTCCTGATGTTTCTGAGCGCGGCGGACGACCCACACGCGCGCAAAAAGCAACAGCAAGAAGACGAGCAGAACAACTGACGCGATCGCGATAGCTCGGTCGTAGTTTCGGGCGACCGACATGAGCGTGTGGCCAAAGTACGCGTCGTACCACGGGTTGCGGTACGTATAGTCAACGGAAAAGTCGGTATATGTACTCTTGGGGGCCATGCCGGATTTCTTGTCGTTGGCGACGCTTTGGATGCAGGCGGCACCCGACGGCTTGGGTGCAGTCATCGGGCACGTGTCATGGATCCACGTCTGCAGCGCAGTGTGTTTGGTCGTGGCGTTGGAGAGCGCCGCGCAGCCATAGCAGAGATCGACGACGTCCAATTGAAACCTACGGGCCGGGGCGTTTAGACGCGCCAGAAACGTCTGCGGGTCAGTGGTCGTCGGGTCCCATTGGGGATTCTCGACGGTAATGTTGACGCGCGCGCAAAAGCTGTCGAGCGTCGTCGTGGCTGTCACAATGACGTTGGCAAGCGTGGCTGGCAGCGTCGATAAATTGCGCTCGACTTCAGCCGTCACGTTTGGGTTGTTCCAGAGACCCGGAAACACGATCGTTTGGACGAGTGGAAACGCGCTGCAAAAGTGGTGGCCTTCGCTCACACAGTACGCTTCCGAGAACGCTCGCGCGGCGTCCAGAGGATACTCTCTCGTTTCATATACTTTGTAGCGCAGGGGGTTGGACGGAGTTTTGGCCGCGCCGAAAGAAAAAAGACTGGCGCTGTAGTTGTACTGGCGCGCCTTGTCCGAGGCGAAGAATGCGTTCATGCGGTGCTGGTACGTCGTGAGCGCTGGCGCCGTCTCGATCGCCTTTGTTGTCATGGCGACGCCATCGACGGCCATACCCAAAAGCACGCTGACGCAGACGACCTCGACGAACAAAAGCAGGAGGCAGAACGTATGCGACGGCGCCCCGCGCGTCCAGACAAGGTGCACGAGGCCAAGCGCCGCAAGCGCAAGCGTCACGACGGCCACGACGGTGGCATGCGGCATTTCGATGAGCGCGCCGTACATGGAGGCACCGAGGGCGATGACGCAGGCGGCGTAGGCGGCGACGACGACAAAGGCGATCGCGACGGCGACGGTGGTGCGCGTGGGCGTGGGCATCTTGCAGAATGGCGCGTCGGTGATGTTGCCACGGGCTTGTCCACGGCCGTGCGACTGGACACGGGTCAATTTATCATGGATCCTTGAACTGGATCAAAGTCACACCGCTGCTATTGCCTGCCTTTCCGCCCGATGATGTGCGTCGCACTCATTTTTTAAAACGTGCCACGGATTGTGCGAATTCGTGCCTAGCACGACCGTATTCGTACGTAAAACCCATCGTCGGCATCGCAACCAGTGGCATTTACATCATCCTTCGTATTGAATTACATACAAATACAAAGCTAAAAAAACTGTCTTCATGAAAATATATTACGATCACCAGTCGCCTCGATAAACCATGCAATGCGTACGAATAGATGGCGAAAACGTGCCAAGAATTACAACCTCGACGCGAGAAAGACACAATCCGACAGCAGCATGGCGCCCCAAGGTACGTCGCGACGAAGCGTGGCCCGCGCCCACACGTGCGCTTCTAGTCGTAGCCAGCAACAGCGTCCACGAGATCGACGCTCCATGGACGCCTACAGCAGACGCACCTGCCACGCCGCCGCCCGTAGCACGCGCTTGCCACCGCGCCTACTGACGCCTGTGTAGGAGACGCCCCGGACGCCGCCGACGCCGTGTCTGCATACCTTCCGCACCAACGACGGGACACTCCGCGGTTTCTTGGCGTCAATGTTTCTCTACTCGGCGGGCCCGTTCTGCTGCTGCACGCGCCAGCGCCGGTGCATGCAGTGCGGCGCGACCTTGGACGCAGAGAACCGCGCGGTCGAGCGGTCGTACAGCGGTAGCGACACGGACGAGTCGCACGGTAGTACGATCCCACGCGATGCGCCGGCGCCCAGTGAGACGACGCCGATGCTACGACCGGCGTCGTAAGCACTGAGGTCTGATCGCCAAAGGGCAATGTCGTCAATAAGAAGGGCAATGTCGTAAATAAGAAGTCAATTGTCGTGGTTAGTACAACGTCTCGATGAGCTTTTCATACTTGTTGGCGACGACATGCCGATGGACAACGTCGCCGTCGGGCGATAGCTCGGGCGGCCCGAGGTCCGCCGGCAGCAGCAGCCATTTGCGCAGCGGAAAGACCGCGACAAGACCAAACGGCGTGCCTACATTCGAACCACAATGGTACCCGCACGTATCGCAAGCACGTCGACCTGCTGCATCCCCGAGGGTCGCGAGCGGCGCTTGGTTGACCTGCTCGAGCAGCTGGTCCAGTGCCACAGCCCAGATCGGACACCGCAGCACCTACGCCGTTGGCATCTTCCATGGGTCGTATGGTACGTGTAGTACCTCTGCGATGGTCAGTGCTTTGCTGCCGAGCGTCCGGCCTTTCTCGATGGCTTCGTCGACGAGCTTGTCCTTCTTAGTCTTGAGGACGAGGAGGACCGTCAGATACGTGTGGCCATCTCCCACCACGACCGCGCGCTGGAGGTACGGGGCCTAGCCAAAATCGCGCAAAAATCGTTCGTTGCATGGTATACAGCCGTGGTGTACCCGCCGAAGGAGGAGAGCTTCGTAGGGTGCGGGAGGGATGCGATCGCCGGACGCAAGGATAATGAATTCCTTGTGGTGGTTGATGACGACGTAGCCGACCGGGTTGAGGCCGCCGTACTGGTAGCTGTGCCACGCATTGTCGGCGCCTCGAATGTGGTTGCAGACGTTGCGACCCTTGTAGCACAGCTAGGTGGATGAGCCAATTGGTCGATACCAAGCGAAAAAGAGGTGTACCTGGTACTCGGTGCCACTCGGCGACTCGGCGAGCGAGATGATCGTCCCTGGGAGCGGCTTGCCGCTGGAGCCGAGCGCCCACGCATTCGGTGCGTTGACGCTGGCAACGCCCGACGTTTCGACCGACCCATCGAGTTGGTACAAGGGTAAATCCGCCTACATCCGCTTTAGAACGGCAGTCGCAGGGAGCGGAAATCGGACCGTGCTAAAGAGCTCGATCTTGTCAAACGCGAGCTTGGCGAGGACGACACCGCAGAAGCGACAGCTGTCGAGGCCCAGCTTCTTCTTCATGGACGCCAGCACCAGTCTATGCGCACGACATCACCTCTGGAACGTTGGATGGCAGGACGCACTTGTTGGCGAGCGAGTGACCGAGCGACGGCTTTGCCTTGCTGCGGGGACCGCCCACTTGCAGCCTACACAGCACCACCACGGTCGTCGTCGTCTCGAAAACACACTGTGGACGTGCGTACTTGGCCGCGTGGTGCACTGCGCGGGTCTTGGCCCAGGCGTACAGCACCGAGTGGGCTTGGGCTTTGATGGTGACGAGCTGGCGGCCCAGCGCCCTACGCAACATGTGATGACCTCCTCGTTGAGCGAATATTGCCCGTACGTCCATGTGGCAGGTGTGCCAAAGAAGAGCGTGGGTTGGATCTGCTTGAGCGTCGACGGCGACGCGTCACCTTCCACGCAGTACAAGACGGGACCGCCCCCGACTGCGATCGAGAGGTACCACTCGATGACTTGCGACGACACAAAGTGCAGCGGGAGGTAGCTACATACAAGCTTAACGCCGGAAAATAGCAGTCCGGGACGTACGCAATGATGCGATCGGTGGGTCCCACGTCGATCTGCAGACCCTCGGCCAACTGCGCGGCTGTAAAGAGAATATTGTCATGCGTCAAGACCTACGGTCAGATGGGAGTGGATAGCTGAGACCAGAAAACATAGTATAGCTTGGTACATATTGCACAAGGTGGCCGTCGGGTGCATATTGATACGAAACGAGGCAGTCATCGTTGGGTCGCACAAGCTGCTGTAGAGCCTCGAGGCTTGCGTCCGGATGCAGCTTGCCGAGCTCGAGAAACTGGTCGACCGAGTAGGTGGGCACGTCGGTCGATGGCAGCACGGTCTAGGATCGTCTTCCGCAATCGAACAGAAAAGACATTGCAGACGTACGCGGGACGAGCCGACGTAGACGATGCCAGCGAGGTGCGGGAGGAGCGCATAGTCGGGTAGCAGCGGCGCGGCGTCCGTGACGATCCATTTGAAGCCAGGAAACGAGTGCCACATCGACTGCACTTCTTGCAGCTGGACGCGCCAGTGGCACACGAGCGCGCCGGCGCCGATCACGCCCATGTTGATAAAGGTACAAGCGGTTGGGTGCGCGGTCATCTGGAAGAGCACGGCGTCGTTGCGGGCGAGGTCCATGGCCACAAAGCTCCGTGCAAAGTCGGCCGCCTGGCCGGCGTACTCGAGCCAGCTGTAGCTGCCCGGACTCGCCGCGTTGGTGGGCCATCGCGTGATGGCGGCCGCGCTCGCACTCGCCTCGACGGCCTCCATGAAGGCAGACCATAGCGTCCTGGGCGGTGGTGGCATCGGCGTCGGCAGCTTGGAACTGCGACGGCTCTTGGTCGTCGCCATGGCGAAGGTTTCTGACGCGGACGCTGATTGGTCGACTTTCGGCCAACGAACGTGTGGGACATGGGGCTGGCTAATCGCACGCCACCAGATGTGTCCACTTGGTGAAATGGACGGCTCGTTGGTGTGCCCACGTGTGCAAAGGGCCGTCGCAAGCTGGTTGCTTGCATCGACTCGGGCGTGGCTTGACGTCACACGGTCTGGCGCTCTTCGTCGCGAAAAAGTGCGTTTTTATAGACCATATTTTTGACAGGACCACGCTCCGTGACGCCAACGGTACGCGCTTCGACACACATCCGCGACGTGCCAAGAACCTTCAAGACATGCGTCTATAGTGCAACCGAGAGGTTGCGGCGTACTGTAGGTTGGCACGTCAGTGGCGCTCCGCGCAGAGGCAGGACCGACGGCTGAAAATTCACCGTGGTGCGTGCATTTAGACTCGTCCTGCGACACGCCGCGAGCCTGGGGAGTCTGGTTTCTGAGTGGCATCGCTTACGCTAGATCTGGTCGACGACGCTGGCCGAAGCACAAGATGGCATCGAACGCGAAGCGAAGCACCGTCGCCAGATTTAGTCGCGCGAGGACGAGTGCAAGGTGGCAAGTAATAGTGTGATCTAAGGGCGCGCTGGTGTTCATTGACACGCTGTATCGTATTGCACACGTCACGCAACCCGAGTAAGGATGGCCATCTGCCCTCGTCGTCGGTTCTAGAACTTGCTTGATCTAGTCAGCAGATAGGGCCTACAAGAAGAAGTCGTCGCCGATACTATGGGCTCGCGTGCACGTGTCGAGGGCATCGTTTAATGCGAAGTATAATAGTGTTGAGGGCGTCATGACTCTCCACCTGGCGATCTTGGTGTCGACCACATTGTGCGTTGACCTAACCTCAACAGCCCACCGACATCATGGGCGAGCCGCGCCTCTCGCATCCAAGTCTCGCCGCTCAGCCGCAGCACGCTCGGAGCACAGAGTCCAGGAGCAAGACATACATACGCTCGAAGAACAAGTGCTATAGGATTGAGGATGTACCAGGACGTGGCACACCATCGGTGGCGCCAACTCTGCCAGCAATCAATAGCCAGCACTCACCAAGAGCGCACTACCATCAGAACATGCACTTGAGTACATGACATGTACTAAAGCACATGACCTGGTCGCCACCGCCAATCGTCATGGCCAAACGTTGGAATTCGAGCAGCGAGGAGTGCCGCAAGTACAGCACTAGTTTTTATGTTTCGCGTTATCTTCGTTGGTACAAAGAGTTCTTAAAGACTAGCAATCTCCTTCTTCATTCGCTCGCTCGCCAGACCGTGGCGGCGGCGGCGCGGCGCTCGTCTCTTTCGTAGTCGCCCGAGGGCTACGAGTATGGCATAACCAGCTCAAAACCAGCCAGGGACAGGTCTCGACTTGGCTTTCGCCTCGTAGCTTTGCCTCGTTGGTTTCCGTGATTTAACGCGATGACATCTCTTCATGCAATCTGAATTTGTGAGAAAAGTACAGTTTCTATACTATTGGCACTGGCGCTTGTCCTGCGTAAAGATCGTCGTCGCGTAGTAGCGGCCGTCCGACGCCTTCTTGACGGCAAACCCAACCGTGTTGTAGTCGCGGTTCAGAATGTTCTTGCGGTGGCCCGGCGAGTTCATCCACTGCGTCGTCATGCCACGCGCGTCTCCGTCGTAGTTGTACAAGGTGTTTTCACCGCACGCGCCATTGTTGCCCGCGGCCGCGCACCGATGGCTAAAGTTGTCGTGGCTGATTGTGCCGGCGCGGATCTCGTAGTTGACGTGGTCCATCGAAAGGGCGTTGAGCTTCGAGTTGAGGCAAGCGAACGCCGGAAGACCATTCTTGACGCGCTCTTCGTTGTGGAACTTGAAGAGCTGCTTGACAACATCGCTAGCACCCGCCGACGTCGTGGTCTGTGTCGGCGCCGGCGTCGCACGCGTCGTTGGGACCGGGGTCGACGGGCCACGCGTCGGTCGCGGGGCTTGCGTCGGGCGGTTCGGGGCTTGCGACCACGGTGCCGGCGTCACGGCCTGCTGCCCCTTCTTGTTGGCGCAGACGTCGGAGCGCGGGTTCGTGTTGGTAAACATGGCCGTCGCAAACCACTTGCCGCTCGGGCCCTTCTGCACCGCGAAACCTGCGTGCTTGTAGTCGCGGCCCAAGATGTTCTTGCGGTGGCCCGGCGAGTTCATCCACTGCGTCGTCATGCCTTGGGCGTCGCCGTCGTAGTTGTATAGAGTGTTTTCACTGCACGCGACGTTGCCGACCTTCTTGCAGCGCTCGCTGAAGCCGTCGTGGTTGATATTGTCGATCGAGATCTCGTACTTGACGTGGTCCAAGCTGAGCTGGCTGAGCTGCGAGTCGAGGCAGTCGTACGCTGGGAGGCCGTTCTTTCGGCGCTCTTGGTTGTGCAAGTCGAAAAGCTGCTGGGCAAAGTCCGATGCTGCTGTCGGCGACGACGGAGCATGCGTCCATGGGGCCTGGGTGGGGGACCGTCCACGGAGCCGGCGACGGGGCGCGGGTGGGGGCCGTCCATGGGGCCTGGGTGGGTGCAGACCACGGCGCCGGCGACGGTGCTGGACCTCGGGTCGGCGTGTTCTTGTTGCCACCGCACGTCCCAGCCTTGGGGTTCGTGTTGGTGAAAAATGCCGTCGCAAACCACTTGCCGCTGGAGCCGCGCTGGACGGCAAAGCCCACGTGCTTGTAGTCGCCGTTCAAGATGTTCTTGCGGTGGCCCGGCGAGTTCATCCAGCTTTCCGTAAACTTGGCGGGGTCGCCAACATAGTCGTACAGGGTGTTCTCACCGCACGCGACGTTGCCGACCTTTTGGCAGCGACCGCTGAAGCCGTCGTGGTTGATGTTGTCGATCGAGACTTCGTACTTGACGTGGTCGGCGCTGAGCGAGCTCAGCTGCGAGTCGAGGCACGTGAACGGCGCGATACCGTTCTTCTGGCGCTCTTGGTTGTGCAAGTCAAAGAGCTGCTGGATAAAGTCGGACGCTTCGGCCATCGCCGACGCCGATGCAATGAGCGCCGCGACAAGGTACCCAAAGCGCATTCTGTACAAGACTGACTGCGCGAGTGTAAAAGGAAAATGAAAATCGTTGACGCTCCAACTACGTGACGCGAAAGTGTGCAGCAATGGTGCGAGTAATATGAGGGTACCCTCATCCATCCGCGGTAATTGCTACGGCCAGACCAACCAGATTTGACACGCGCATTCTGTGCAAATGCTTTGGAGGAAGCCGCACGGATATGATACAATAGTATAGAGTGGCATGACAATAGTTTCACTTGGCTAGTAAACGCCGTGTAAACATCACTCGCGTCAAAGTGCACACAAAACAGATGTCTTCCGTCACACATCTGTAGTTCCCACCATGAAGCATTGCAATCGCGCTGGTAACGCTACCGCGGACAACATCAGGATTCTCGGAGACGATCGAGCCAGTTGACCACCGTTGCGCGCAGGGCGTTTAAAACCGAGTGCGTGCTCGGGCAAGATGGTATTTTGCCGAGGTTTCCTGTTTCTTGCGGTGTTGGTTGAGGACCCTGTAGAACGACAGGATTGCGATTCTATGTAAGAGTACCAAGGTAATGCATTCTAGTTTGTACTTGCGCCTGCTCACTCTTTGATACCTCGAGTTTGCGGAAGCATTTTCCATCAACTAGCGCGTAGAGGCCGATCGATCGTCTGAGAAACGATTGCCAATGTGCAGTACCTCTGCCTCGCGACCGCCGCGTCATTTGCGGGACATGCCTCGCGTCAGGTCGGACTCAAGTTGAAGTGCCGAAAATGACCGTGAGTTCGCTCGCAATTTGGCTGGACTGGCCGCGCACTTTACACGTGCACCCTTGAATTCATCTCGGGTACCAAGTATTTGCAGTGGAGTCCCGGTACGACTCTATCGTGCGTCGGTCGTTTCCTTCGACGTGGGCACTGCGTCGTGCTGATTCTGATTGGTCCTTCTATCGGTCTATCGTTGAGAGCCCCCTCGGTCGCACTTACTCTCTAGTAACTCTGCATGATGCGAAGTCGCCAGAGACTATGCCGACTGCATGGTGTGTTTATGCACGCGGTCAATCAGGGACACGCGTCGCGACAGAGAAACGGCCGCCCGTTTCATTCAAATCTGTCATATTGAATACCCTAACCCTAGTATACTCTTTCACGGCGAAGGCTTCAACGCTGTAAAGACACGCGATTCAACAGTTCCGCTAGAGCGAAGGTCAAGCCCGCCACCACAAGTGTCTAATGCCTCCTCACAACTTCACACGTGCCCAAGAGAGCATATTACTACGTCAAAAGGCCATCAGCACCGATGTAGACAACAATATATTGCTGTCCAGTTGCACTTGTACACGTTCAAAACACTCGTTTTTGGTGCACAAAAACAACTCTTGGTTTACATTCATTATCATGTATACAGTGTGAAATGGACGACGTCATAGAAACAGAAAATGCGGTAAATGCTTAGGCGCACGGGCGGCTGTCCTTGGTGAACATCGCCGTCGCGTAGAACTTGCCGTCCGGCGCCTTCTTGACCGCAAAGCCGACGTTGTCATACGCGGTGCTGAGAATGATGGTGCGTGCGCCGGTCGATCTCATCCACTGCGTCGTTGTGTTACGCGCAAGGCCATTGTAGTTGAAGAGGATGTTTTCAGCACACGCGCCGTTGTTGCCGGCCTGCCTGCAGCGCTCGCTAAAACCATCGTGGCTCATCTTGCCGGCGCGGATCACGTAGTTGACGTAGTCGGTGGAGAGCGCGCTGAGCTTGGTGTTGAGGCACGAGAAGGGCCTGACGCCGTTCTTGACGCGCTCTTCGTTGTGGAACTGGAAGAGCTGCTTGACAACCTCGCTGGCCACCGTCGTCGTCGGCGCCGGCGTCGCGCGTAGCGTCGGCACCGGGGTCGACGTGCCACTGGTCGGTTGCGGCGCTTGCGTCGACGGTGTCGGCGTCGCAGTCTGCTGCAAAGTCGTGTTGACGCAGACACCCGTGCGCGGGTTTGTGCTGGTGAAATACGCCGTCGCAAACCACTTGCCGCTCGGGCCCTTTTGCACCGCAAAGCCTGCGTGCCTGAAGTTGCTGTTCAAAATGTTAGCGCGGTGGCCTGCCGAGTTCATCCAGCTCGTCGTGTATTTGGCCGCGTCGCCAACATAGTCGTACAAGGTGTTCTCACCGCACAAGACATTGCCGACCTGTCGACAGCGCTCGAGGAAGCCGTTGTGGTTGATGTTGTCGATCGAGATCTCGTACTTGACGTGGTCCAAACTGAGCTGGTTGAGCTGCGAGTCGAGGCACGTGTATGGCGCGATACCGTTCCTCTGGCGCGCTTGGTTGTGCAAGTCAAAAAGCTGTTGGACAAGGTCGTCGGCCATCGAGCGGGCGGCGACCGTTGAGCAGGCAATGGCGGAAGCGAGGAGAGTGGCGATGCGCATGTTTTTGGTTCGTGTCGGGAGGACAAGGGAAAAGGAACAGTGATAGATGGAGAAGCCGTTAGGGAATCGAGCGACTCGCTGGAAGATATATCTATCTTCATCTACGTATCACATACTAAGGACAATATTAGTCCAGAAGCAACGCCTCGGCATATCTTTTATCGGCGTTTCTCCGAGTGCTCACGCTGAAACTCGCCTCCTCAGCTCACTCCATCTTTTGCTTTGCGGAGTAACTCAATACAGCTGCCTATTTTCTGGGAGACGGCTCTACCCTCGCCTTGTGTCCGAGTTCCACGGCGGGCGTCACCATCGGTTTCAAGGTTAAAACAGGGGGTTTCAAAGTTAAAATAGGAGGTTTCAAAGTTAAAATCGAGCAACGCCGGACGTTTCGCATGATGGTCTTTCGTGACGTGATTGGTCATTTTAATTTTGCGACGCACGGTCGCCGGCTGAAAAATCCTCCCTCCGTTAGGCTCTCCAGACTCGAAAATCGGGTGTGGAGACCGCGACCGGCGCTGGAAGAAAAATGCATCAGAATTCACTGGTTTTTGGCTCTGCCTGCCGAAAACGACCGTGAGTTCGCTCGCAATTTGGCTGGACTGGCCGCGCACTTTACACGTGCACCCTTGAATTCATCTCAGGTACCAAGTAATCGTGGTGGGGTCCCGGTACGATTCTATCGTGCGTCGGTCGTTCCTTTGTACTGCGTCTTGCTGATTCTGATTTGTCCTGTTGCACGATGTCGCTCGCTGGAAGACGACATAGTGGACTGCCACGTCATCTATGTTGCGTGTGGCTAGCTTTAGTCGTTTAGTTAGTCGAAACGAGATAAGTACCTTTCGGTGCAAATTTGCAAGCTTCCTCGCAAGAGGTCCTTCTATCGGTCTATGGTCGCACTTCCTCTCTGGCGACTCTGCATGATGCAGAGTCACCAGAGAGTATGCAGACTACATGCTGTGTTTATGCATGCGTTTAATGAGGAACACGCGCCGCGACAGCGAAACGACCGACAATTTCATCCAGATTTGTCATTTTGGATACCCCTAAGCCCAGTGTACTAGCGCACGACGACTTTAATGCCGCGAAAAAACGCGATTCAACAGTTCCGCTAGAGCGATGGTCAAGCTCGGCACCACAAGTCCCATCCCTCCTCACAATTTCACAAGGGTCCAAGAGGGCATAGTGCTTCAAAATCGATGTTGACAACACGATATAGCAGTCCTCTTGCACTTGTACATGTTGAAAACACTCGTTTTTGGTGCAAGAAAGCAACTGCAGGTTCACATTCTCAATACTAGTACCATGTTTAAAGTGCGAGATGGACGACGTCATAGAAATAGAATCGATAAATCCTTAAGCGCACGGGCGGCTGTCCTTGGTGAACATGGACGTCGCGTAGTACTTGCCGTCCGACGCCTTCTTGACCGCAAAGCCGACGTTGTCGTACGCGCTGCCGAGAATGTTGGCGCGATGGCCGGCCGAGTTCATCCACTGCGTCGTCATGCCTTGGGCGTCACCGTCGTAGTTGTACAGAGTGTTTTCAGCACACGCGCCGTTGTTGCCGGCCTGCTGGCAGCGCTCGCTAAAGCCGTCGTGGCTGATCTTGCCGACGCGGATCTCGTAGTTGACGTGGTCCATCGAGAGCGAGCTGAGCTTGGTGTTGAGGCACGAGAAGGGCTTGAGGCCGTTCTTCTGGCGCGCTTCGTTGTGGAACTTGAAGAGCTGCTTGACCACGTCGTCGGCGCCCGGCGCGTCCGTTGGGGCGTCCGAAGGCTCGTCCGACGGCTCGTCCGACTGGTCATCCGAGGGTGCCTCGGTGGGCGCCAGTGTCGGTGCCATAGTGGGGCGCTTCGTGGGCTGCGGCAACGGGCGGGGAGTGGGCTCGACTGTCGTCGGGCTCGTCGGCTTGGGCGTGTTCGGCGCATCGGTGGGCGCCACAGGGCCGGGCTTGGCGCCGCAGACGTCCTTGCGCGGGTTCGTGTCGGTAAACATGGACGTCGCAAACCATTTGCCGCTCGGGCCCTTCTCCACTGCAAAGCCCACGTGCTTGTAGGCGCCGTTCAAGATGTTCTTGCGGTGGCCCGCCGAGTTCATCCACTGCGTCGTCATGCCTTGCGCCTCGCCGTCGTAGTTGTACAAGGTGTTTTCGCCGCAAGCGACGTTGCCGACCTTCTTGCAGCGCTCGCTGAAGCCGTCGTGGTTGATGTCGTCGATCGAGATCTCGTACTTGACGTGGTCCAAGCTGAGTTGACTCAGCTGCGAGTCGAGGCACTCGAAAGGTGCGACGCCGTTGGCCTGGCGCTCCTTGTTGTGGAGTTCAAAAAGCTGCTGGACGAGGTCGTCGGCCATCGAATGGGCGGCGACCGTCGAGCACGCAAGGGCCGTAGCAAGAAGAGTGGCGATGCGCATGGTGTTGTTGTTGGTGTGGGAACGACAAGGGAAAGGTAAAGTGAGCGACTTGATCGATCGCGGTGGCAAATCCGACAGACACGCGAGGGTGGCACCTGGCTGACGGGAAGCGTCGGTGCTGCCACGTGGGTGAGCGTTTCATCGTGCTGACAACTTGTGTTGACCGTGTCACTGAAAACCAGCTGAAATCAGATTGGGTAGAGGCGACACTGGACAATAATGACTACATCCGTCGCCCACCTTCGATTTGTGGCGCGTCGCAGCACGACACAGAGATTAGTCTGGTCAAACTAGTCGTTCATTAATGGTCATTGGATGTATCATCCCGAGCATTTGCCAACACTCGTGGTGACTCGCCACCAGATGTGCTTCGTCCAGTATGTGACGACACCCCCCGCGTCAGAATCCAAGCGTAACCCGCATCCTATCATAGCTCGCTTCCACCACAGCAAGTGGATCCGGCGATCGTTCTTTGTGTGTGGAAGACACGAGACATGCTGTCGACACCACGACACGATGCGGCCGCAGCATTAGTTCGACTTGCTTGCACGTTTGAAGAAGTGCTCATCGACAGCAAAAATCGTGTATGCAGTGCCTTTGGCCTGCTCGAAAAGCAAGGGAACACGATAAATGTCAAAGTCCGGCATTTGCTGTATAGTAGTATGATACTAAACAGCAAATGCCGGGCTTTGACTTTGACGATGAGTATGCCAAAATCAACCAACTCGACAATCCGAATGAGGCAACCGAGCTGGGCATCGCGGAATTATAGCTGTAATTCTCAGTGTGTACGCAGGGCTTTGCATCGTCTTTGCGCGACTCGTGCAACCACTGTGTGATGCGGAGGAGGTTCTCGGGCTGCACGCAACCTTGCATTGCGGTAATGTCTCATAGTCTGGAATATGCATCGGCCGAGATCTTCTATGCACTGCTTCGTGCCCTCAATTTCGTCTTGCGATCTAAGACGTTAGCTTAGTACTGCTAGATCAACCCAGCGCGCGATGCGATCGCCAAACTCGACGACCTCCATGATCATGCAACCCTTTTGCGATTCACAATGCGTTGAAACTCGACTTTGAACCCAATTTGGATATCGATGGCTGCACGAGACAAAGAATCCATTGCATTCCTCGTCGCTCCTTTCCTGAAAGATTGCTGCAATCGCTTTGTAGTAGACGCTTGAGCTTTCCGCTTTGTGGTTATTGGCCATTGAGATTCGAGAGCTCACCGCCGCGTCTCGCGGTCACGTCTTTGGTTGAGGCCACTGCGTCGCTCCGACGTGGTCCATATAATACAATTACGCGTAGTTCCGCCGTCGACTTGTACCTACCGGTATATGGACTGTTGTACTACATCGCATGCGTGATTCGGCATCCCTGTGTCAAGATGACCCAACGACGACACTTGAGCAGCTGCCTGGAGATGATGGCCAATTCTGATTGGCTAAAATACAGACGCTATTGTCGTTTGATTGGCCAAAGCACCCCATTCGTCCATTTTGCCATGCTCAAGCACCTCGTGGCAGCGGCGCTCGCAGTCCCGACCGTTTACGTGGCGTTCGTCCTCGTCCACGCGCTTGCGACGACGTCGCCCATCGACAGCGTTGCGCGCATGCTCGGTAGCCCATGGGCGCTGAGCGGCCTCGTCGACTACAGCGCCGGCCTCCTCTTCTCGGTGCCCTACTTGTGGCTCCGAGCGTCGACGCTGCCCGCCAAGATCGGCTTGGCCCTCGGCGCGATCGTCCTCGGCAACGCCTTTAGCGTCGCCGTCTTCATCTGGCTCATCCTTTCCAGCGACAGCACATTGCGCGCCGCCGTCTTGCCCGTGCGCACGGCGTTCCCGCCCATCGACAGCACGTCGGCGTCCCGCCGCACGTTCATCGGTCTGGCGCTCCTGGCCTTTCTCGGCTACCTCGGGCTCCTTGTCTACTGTGTACAGGCGCAGCCGTTGGCGACCGGCTGGGCGACGATCCAGGGCGACGCGTGGGCCTACGCGACGTTCGTGAACGTGTGGACAGGACAGTGCTTGGTGCTCACGTACATCCTCGTGCGCGAAGGCCGCGACGCCAAGCTCTTTGCTGCTGCACTGAGCGTCGGGCTCGTGATCGTGGGCAATCTTGCGACGTGCTATTACCTTTTGCATCTATTCGTCCTCCGGTTTCCCGGCTGGCATGTCCGCGACGTCTTGCTCTGGAACGACAACGACGCCAACGTCGACGAAGACGCGCCGCTTCTGCCCAAAACCTCATATGTCTAGTAGTTGAGTGCAAGCAACAAAATGATCCCATGGTGAGGTACCCAAGGGTTTTTATCCCTTGCTGGTACATAACATCAAGCATAATTTGCACACAAATCTGCTTGTACGCCTGCAACTCTCACAACGTCGTCCCCAAGCAAGCGATACCATGACGTTATAGCCTGTCTGATTCACAGGCCACGGCCCAAAGAGGGCAGACGGCGGTAATTCGACCCCACACTCAGAAAGACCACACATTCGACGCTCTCGCAACGCAGATGAGATATGCGATGTACCCACGACCGGTCACAACGCTGCAACTTGGACCCATAACCAAGAGCCAACCACCAACACAAAGCGTACTACAAAGAATCGTGTGCGTTTCTGCATCGAATCAAGGAGATACATTGATGCCCTTGATAAAATGAATGCACAAAGAGTCTTCTCATCCTGTTACCGCGGGTGTCGTGCTGGCCAACGCTGCAAAATGGAGGTCGTGCGCCAGTCGATGTGTACGCATCGAACCTGCTTAGCACCGAACTAATGCTGCGGCGGCATGAAGGTGCAGCTTAAGCGCCTGTCAAAAGCGCCAAGAAACAATCGTCGGATCCGCTTGCTGCAATAGAACGTGCTCCTACTGTAGGAAACGGCGTTGGTCACGCTTCGATTGGGACGTTGTGCCGGAAGCAAGACATCTGCCTAATGATACCTCGAGAGTAATGCTTCTGGGCCACCAAGAGGACTCCATGCGATGGGATGGAAGCAGCTGTTGCGTGCACCACACAATTTATTGTCGAAGCGCGTACTCGAGAGGGCAGGCAGCGCCCTCGAGAAGCACGACGTGAGCGAAAGCATCTTGAATTTTACATCGAAGCATAGCACGAGCTTGGAAAGGATCGCTATATTTCGCGGCAGAGAGGAATCTCGGCCGTCCTCAACGTGGAGACCCAGCCCACCACACACCAAGGCTTTTCACAACAACATCCGGTGCGGCGAAACCACTGAGAAGCTAAATTTGAGATCCAACGCATGGCGTTGCGATCGCCATACAGAGGTCAACGCCGTGACACACACGCATCCACGTGGCAGCACCGACGCTTCCCGTCAGCCAGGTGCCACCCTCGCGTGTCTGTCGGATTTGCCACCGCGATCGATCAAGTCGCTCACTTTACCTTTTCCCTTGTCCTCCCCACACCACCAACAACACCATGCGCATCGCGACACTTCTTGCTACGGCCCTTGCGTGCTCGACGGTCGCCGCCCATTCGATGGCCGACGACCTCGTCCAGCAGCTTTTGAATTCCACAACAAGGAGCGCCAGAAGAACGGCGTCGCACCTTTCGAGTGCCTCGACTCGCAGCTGAGTCAACTCAGCTTGGACCACGTCAAGTACGAGATCTCGATCGACGACATCAACCACGACGGCTTCAGCGAGCGCTGCAAGAAGGTCGGCAACGTCGCTTGCGGCGAAAACACCTTGTACAACTACGACGGCGAGGCGCAAGGCATGACGACGCAGTGGATGAACTCGGCGGGCCACCGCAAGAACATCTTGAACGGCGCCTACAAGCACGTGGGCTTTGCAGTGGAGAAGGGCCCGAGCGGCAAATGGTTTTCAACGGCCATGTTTACCGACACGAACCCGCGCAAGGACGTGTGTGGCGCCAAGCCCGGCCCCGTGGCGCCCACCGATGCGCCGTACACGCCCAAGCCGACGGCGCGTCCATTGCCGACAGCCAAGCCCACGGCGCGCCCATTGCCGACGGCCAAGCCCACGGCGCGCCCGTTGCCGACGGGGCCGCCGATTTCGACGACGACCAAGCCGACGAAGCGCCCGACGCCCAAGACGCCGACGCCGATCCCCTACACCAAGTCGCCGACGCCGCGCCCGACCACGACGCCCAAGCCTTGCCCGACCCGTGCTCCCACCCAGCGTCCGACGACGGCTCCGACCCAGCGCCCGTCCACGGCGCCGACGCCTCGCCCGACGTACGCCCCAACGGACGCACCGGGCGCCGACGACGTGGTCAAGCAGCTCTTCAAGTTCCACAACGATGAGCGCCAGAAGAACGGCCTCAAGCCCTTCTCGTGCCTCAACACCAAGCTCAGCTCGCTCTCGATGGACCACGTCAACTACGAGATCCGCGTCGGCAAGATCAGCCACGACGGCTTTAGCGAGCGCTGCAAGCAGGCCGGCAACAACGGCGCGTGTGCTGAAAACACTCTGTACAACTACGACGGTGACGCCCAAGGCATGACGACGCAGTGGATGAACTCGGCTGGCCATCGCAAGAACATTCTCGGCAGCGACTACAACCACGTGGGCTTTGCGGTCAAGAAGGCGTCGGACGGCAAGTACTACGCGACGTCCATGTTCACCAAGGACAGCCGCCCGTGCGCCTAAGCATGTTTGAGGATGATGTGTGTGTCCATGAATATATTGTATTGTTGAAGTGATGTGATGTTGATTGCAGCACAGTGCCTTATATATCGTATCGTTGCCACTGCAACTGCGATGCAACACAGAGTTTGGCTCGACGAACCGGCTCGGGAAAGCGCACGACGCCTTGGCACCGTCGATGGCAGCTTGCTTCATACGCCACGCCGGATCGTCGAGAGCATGCAAGATCGTAGGCAGAAACCGGAAGTCAGAATGAGCTTCACACCGTGCGCCGAGAGGTTGCGCATGAAGCAGGCCTTGGGACGTGCCGCTTGCGGCCTCGCGCACGGCCGCGCACATGTCCGCAAACGACTCGAGGAGCATCGGGAGAATTACACTCACAATCATCTCCAAGAGAAAGCCGAGGCGCTCGCCGAAGCACTCCATGACGGACAAGGCGCCTTGGCGGGCGTCCGTGTTGGAACTCTTCTCGCTTCCTCGAGGCGCAGAATGACCAGATGCTGCTTGCGCGCAGCGATACCAAGACCCTTGACGACGACCGAAACACGAAATGCGGTGCCCATGCGGTAGTGAAACGTCTCGCCCGTCGTCGCCGCCATGCAGAATCGTCCAGAATCAACGGACGTCGTCAGGTCTGGACCGCAAGCATGAGCAGCGACAAGTGCGCACTGGACGGCCTTGGACACGATCGAGAGCGACGCGAAAAGCCGCAGCTGACGTTCGGCCTTGTTCGTGTCCGCGACCCGAGGCAGACTACGACGCCTGCGCGCTTGTGGTCGTACGCATCGAGCTTCTTTGACAGTGCTTCGATTCGCGCTTCGAGGAGCGTGCAGAGGCCGTTCGTGTACATACACGATTCCATCATCTACACCGACCTTGCGCATGGACGCTGTGATGCGCGTCGCCGAGGCGGAGCGATAGAATAAACGGGACGTAGGTCATGACGTGCGAAAGGATCTTTGTCTTGGCGCAGTGCTCACTACCGTCAACGTGCTCTCGTCAGCCTCGAGATCGTAGTGTGCTCGACCGGCGCGCGAAACGTGCTCGGCTTCCTCGGCGCCTTGGGCCGGGACGTGCTGCAAGAATTCCGACCGAGTGCCCTTGAGGTACCCGTCGGTGAGACTCTGCACCACACAGAAAGTCCATCGACGTGGTCGTGCACCGTCGGCACCATCTCATCGTACTTCGCAGCCGACGGCGCAAGGTCGACACGAGCCAGGCCTTGAGGCGCGCCCACTCGCCCGCAAAGGCGTCCTTGCACGACAAGCGCTTGGTGCGAGAGCACGAGAAGGATCGGACGAGCGCAACAATCTTGGTCTCGAGCGTCTCGGTCGAACGGCGCACCGGCAAGATCGTGCGCAGGCGCGGGTACCAGCGAGCGAGGGCTAATTGTAGAGAACCGCGTCGGTGTCCTTCGTCGTGCGTTTGGTCCGCGGCAGAGGCGACTGCTCAAGAGCCGCATGAAGGCTGTATAGAGCTGGTCCGAAGCGAGCGCGCGCATGCTTTTTCCTGCGACAAGCACGACATGGATGGAGGAAGAAATCCACCTACATCGGCAGACGAGGAACCTCGTTCGAGTCCGGAGCCTAGGTATTCTGTGAGACTCGAGTCGCGTCGAAGTACCTTGTGCCAAACGTGGACCAGCGCCGCGTCGACACCTGGAAGAACGAGGTCCAGCGAAGCACGCCGTGGACCATGAGTACTGTTGGTGACCGCCCGAGAAGCTCAAATCGCAGGTAGCTCGAGCACAGATCGCATCTGACGCGACGTCGACCACGAGGTTCGCGGCGGGCGAGAGGTTCGTGGCGGGCGAGAGGTTCGTGATGTCGTCGCGGCGGTCTCGGTGCCGTGTGCAAGCAGCAGGACATCAAGTGTGACGCGCTCGAGACGAGCGCCACTTGGCTCTGCGCCGCGAGATGACGCGCGCACTGCTGCGCCGGCGGCCGTGTCGTCGTCGCGGCAGCCATTTTGAAATTGCCCTTGCTATTGGTGTCCGGTTATTGATCCGGATGCCTGAAACGCCACGAGCGCGACAAGGGTCGAGGCCATCGTCCGCACTCCTCGCACAAACGCCCGAGGCTGCCAGCGTTTGTCTCGGCGCACCGGCCATATACGGTAACCAGTCTCACAAACTCGAGTCTTGCAGCACAATATTCAGGCAAAATGCCATTTAATTGGGAATGTCTTGTTTTATGGCACCAGCGTATAAAGAAAGAGAGGGAAAAGAACGTGGAATTCATTTTATTACATTTTTTTCCAATTCGTGCGAGGCGACTGGGTCGTGGCCTTGATGACGACGCTTAGGTGGCATGCAACTACCGTGTTTCATTGGCAGGGAAACTTATGGCTCGACCAATCAGAGGACAGAGCTGACCAATCAGAAGGCAGCATTTGGGTAACGGCGACGCATCTGATTGGACAAAATGTTGGAAGGCTGTTGGACGTGATATCCGGCAGGCTGTTGGACGCATCCGGCAGGCTGTTGGACGCATCCGGCAGGCAGTTGGACTCATCCGGACGAGCTGCTGGAGTCGAGCCGCCCGCCCGGATGACTCCGCCTTGTATCCGGCTGTCACAAGTCATTTGTGTGGTTCAGGACCACCCGAACCACGGCGCCGCCTCCAGCGTGACGCTGAGCCAAGAAGGGCCGCGGGAGACGCACCATGGCACCGTCGTGTGTTGTCACTGGTATGTACTAGTAATGTGACGTTTGCATCTTCTTGGTGCGCTCTTGGAACGCGTACGAGCAGCAGAGCGGCGTCGTGCGCTCGATGTGGCTGACGCGGCGCTCTCCGAGGAGCCTGCCACGTTGGAACGTACGCGCACTGGTGTATATAGCTACTGTCGTGCGCCATTCCAGGCTCTAGGCGCTCTTCAACACGTCACCGGTTGCGGCCTCGCCGCCAGTGCTCTGAAGCTTGGTTGTTTGGGGAGTCTGGCGCTCGCACGACGACTCCGCGATCGCGTTCCGCGGTTGGCAAGTTCTCGAGATCGAGCACTCGTGCTCCAAGCTACGGCTGCGATACATGTAATGCACATATTTACGACTTGATGATTAAGGGTCTTGCCATAACTGCACTTGCTACGCGTGCACTGTGCAGGCGCCTGCTTACGCATGCTCGGCAAGGGGCTAACCTTGACCGTGTCATGACGGGACCAGCAGCAATCGGCGTGTCCACGGACAAGGGGCGACGGCGCATGGACAGCAGTGGCTGTCGCGCGGACCTGCTCAGGCGGCGCGTCCTCAGGTCACGTCTACATGAGCAACAAGAGGTCAACACAGTCCCGAGACACAATAGCGCAAGCATACCTTGACAACGTCGCGCGGCGATGTGTCCTTCTTTGGATGGATGCACGTTGCACAGCGTCGGCAATGGCGCAGCTACCACGGACAGTCGTACGATCTCAGTAGCGCACACTAGCGCTAGGAGCTCGGCTGCACTGGCAGTAAGGTGGGCACACGTGGCGGACGCGCTCTTGGGCCTAGGTGGCGCCGGCAGCGACTGTTGCGGCGATCGATGCAGCGACCGTGGTGCGAGAGGCCGTGGCGGGAGCGACCTGGCGTCCTGCGTCGCTCGGCATGGCGTCGGAGGTTCGGGCGCGCGGGCGCGGGCTGCGCAAGGTAGAGATACCTGGCGAGGAGTGGCGGTCGGCGGCACGACGCGGCGAAACGTCGAAGTGAGTGGCTGTAGACAGCCAAGCAAGCGTCGTTCCTGCGCCCTGGAGCGCCGCGCCGGAATAGAATTCAATATTGGACCTCTCGGCAACTGATGGGCAGGACCCGTATTTGATTTCATAGGATATAAATTTTCAATAGAGCAAAGCCATAAATCGTCCAACAGCCCAATTAAACCGCCCATCGCCAATCTGGCAATTTGCTTTTTAACGCTTAAAGAGCAATGCTATCTGTGCGTTGTTGACCATTGCTCGCGTTATAAGACCGCAGTGGCGGCGTAGCGTGGTCTGCTCTGCTCCCGAAAGTGTCTTCTGTCAATGTGCCAAGTATGGGCGATTTCATTTCAAACGCGAGATTGGCGGCCGAGTTGCGTCGGCTCGCGGGCGGTGGTTCAAAAATGGCACTCCGCTCTTATTTGTGGCATGTGCCATAAATAAATCTTGGATCGCGCCTCGTGTTCCGCTGCACGGCTCGGACGGCGACGCGACCTCTCTCTCCGCACTCTCCACGGCGTCCTCTATCCCTGTGTCTAGTCTCGACGATTGCATGTTCCAACACAATTGTGGTCGCTTTGCAACCGGGTGGCGCGGGCCAAGAGAAAAAAGAGAAAAAATGAAAAAAAATGAAAAAAAAGTGTTCCGCACACTTGGTTGTTGAGTGGTGCTTCTCCGCACAACCTAGCCTGTAAGAGCCACAAGACTGTAGAATGGAAACCATTCGAGAATTGTGTTTGCTGATTACAAGGCGTCGGGTCGTACCAAGCAAAGCACCGAATTTCAACCGCCAGTGTACGAAGCACGCCGGAAGTGTTTTTTCAACACTTGCCAAGTCTAACAGCAACGTTTGACAATGTCCAAACGGTCTTTGGTTGTTCAAACCAAAAACGTCCTGGATATCCCCGGGAGGATGCCAGCCATATTGGTCATCGTGGATCTCGTCCTGATATAGCTACGATCTGGATCTGAAATCAGGTCATTTCGTGTTCCCACGTAAGCTTTGCAGAAGACGGCAAATCGGCCAATGGACGTCCGGGCAAGCTTCTATGCCTTCTGGAAGGTCCTCTGCAACGCGTAATGACGTGGCAACTGCGGATCCGGGGAAGGTCCAGCGCGACGAGGCAGAGCGCGCTGCCTTCCGCGAGAAGCGCAAACGGAACCTCGACGGCCGCGTCCAGGCACTCAAGAAGACCAAGCTGACGCCGCCGGCCATCGACCTCTTTGCGCCCGACGAGACCGCGCCGCCGCCAGTCGCCAACATCAAGAAGTCACAGACGAAGGCATCGCGCTTAGCGGCGCGCGAAGCCCGGTCCACGGCCAGACAGGCCGACGCAAGCCGCCCTCGCAAGCGACCCGTCTGTCTAGTATTATGAAGGCTCAACACGCTATGTATTGGCTTGCGTTGAATATTATGTTGGATAATGTTGGGATCATTTTTAACCGAGGTGGCGAGGGATCTTTTGTACTAGTAACGCGCTTGCCCATGCCAGGACGCATCCGTGTTCCCTCTGCGCCTTGGTGGTCTGCTCGTCGATGGTCCTGGCTGCCGTGCGTCCAACGCGCCGAGCTTTGCCATGACGATGTGCTTAATTTTGGCAATCATGGAGGACCGTCTCGCTGCTTTCGTCTCGACGTACGCAAAAAGCTGTGCGTGGGTATTGCATATGGAGGTATCGGAGGGAGTCTCCATTTGGTCTTTTGCAATGTTGCGCGCAGTTGACATTAGTTGACATGAGCGCGCCAGTCGATACCAGCTCACCCGAACGGGGCCTATTCGTCGAGCCAAACTCTGTGTTGCATCGCAGTTGCAGTGGCAACGATACGATATATAAGGCACTGTGCTGCAATCAACATCACATCACTTCAACAATACAATATATTCATGGACACACACATCATCCTCAAACATGCTTAGGCGCACGGGCGGCTGTCCTTGGTGAACATGGACGTCGCGTAGTACTTGCCGTCCGACGCCTTCTTGACCGCAAAGCCCACGTGGTTGTAGTCGCTGCCGAGAATGTTCTTGCGATGGCCAGCC